GTGTGATAGTAAGGCTAGATCGTCTGCGTAGTCCAGGTCTTCCAGGTAGGAGAAAGGTGTCCATCTGATTCCCCTGACCTGATCTTCAGTGGTGCGATGCATGATCCAGTCCACAACAAGGTTGAAAAGAAATGTAGACATTACACACCCCTGCCTGACACCAGTGCGAACTTCAAATAAGATGTCACCATCACCAACACAGCAGGTAAAGTTGTCATAGAAGCTTTTGATGATCTCAACAAGGTGGAAGGGGATTCCATATGCTCGTAATAACTTCCAGAGGCTGTGCCGGTGCACACTGTCAAAGGCCTTGGCGAAATCTACAAAGTTGATATAGAGAGTTCGCTGCCATTCGGTACTCTGTTCAATAATATTTCTCAGTGTGAAAATATGATCAATACAGCCCCTTCCTCTCCTGAAACCTGCCTGTTCTTCACGAAGTCTATGGTCCACAGCCAGTGATAAGCGCTTCATGATGACCTTCGCTAAGATCTTGTTAGGGGTGGATAATGGTGTAATGCTGCGCCAGTTGTTACAGTCAGACAGAGCTCCTTTCTTTGGTATCTTGATGATGACGCCCTTATTCCAATCGTCAGGAATTTTCCTTCTGTCCCATATGGTGTTGAAAAGTGGCTGCAATATGCTTGCCGTAGTCACAGCGTCTGCCTTGAACAGTTCAGCATTGAGGCGGTCTTTGCCAGGTGCCTTGTGGTTTTTTAGAGAATTAATGGCTGCAATGATCTCTTCTTTCTTTGGTGGTCCGGTGTCAACACTTAAGTCCTCCTCAGCTTCTGGTATATCAGGCTCCTCTTCTGGTGGTGGTCTGTTGAGGACTTCATTGAAATGCTCTACCCAACATGCTTCTTGGTCTTTTTTAGAGGTGAGGAGCTGTCCTTGTTTATCTCGTATGGAGACATTTCTATTGCCATTATATTTTCCACAGATCAGTTTAGTGACTTTATAGACATTTCTCTGCTCTCCCTTTTGTGCCGCTTCCTCTGCTTCTTTTGCTAGATCTTCCATATACGCTTATCTGTTCTGATCTTTCTTTTGACACGCCTGTTGGTTTCTGTGTAAGCCGCTCTATACTTCTCTCGAAGTCTGGCTGATTTGCTGTCATTTATCTTCTTCTTCAGCTGGCGTCTCTCCTCGATAGCCTGCCACGTGTCTGGTGTAATCCATTCTTTCTTCTTTCTCGTCTTTTGCATCCCCAGACAGGTTTTACTTGCTTCATCAAAAATGTTCTTCACTTGCTTCCACTGTTGATTTACACTGTCTTCCTCTTCATCAATGCTTTGCTCGTCTATGTTACTCAAGGCTTGGAACCTGTTCCTCAGCTGTAGGACAAAAGCATTCTTAGTCCTTTGGTCTTGTAATCTGCTGATGTCATATCTAGGAGTGCGTTGTTTGTTTGGTCCAGCTGCTCTCAGTTTCAATCTCACCTTTGCAGTCACAAGATGGTGATCGCTGCTTGCATCAGCCCCTCTTCTTACTCTTACTTCAAGCAAGGAGCGGCGCCACATGCTGTTAACCATTAGGTGGTCTATTTGGTTTTGATCCCGCCCATTTGGGGATGTCCAGGTGAGTTTATGAATGTTGCGATGCGGGAATAAGGCTCCACCGATGATCATGTTATTAAATGCACACCATTCTACCAGCCTCTTTCCATTGTCATTCTGCACTCCACATCCTTCTCTTCCCATGACTCTTTAAAAATTCAAATTGTCTGAGCCCACCTTGGCGTTAAGATCACCCATCACCAACAGGAGGTCTCTACAATGGACGTTCTAAAATGTTGCTTGCAGCTGCTCATAGAAGGCCTCTTTATCTCTGTCGTTGCTGTCATTTGTAGGTGCATAGCACTGTATGATGGATAAGTTAGTCTGCCTGCCCTTTAATCGTGCTTGAATAATCCTGCTGTTTACTGGTTTCCACTCCATTAAGTACTTTTCCATCCCTTTCTTCATGATGATTGCAACCCCCTCATGATGTAAATCATCCTCTCTCCCAGAGTAGAGAACTGTCTCTCCTGTTGTTGTCTTCATTCTCCCAGTTTTGTCCATCACTCTCACTTACGCCTAAGATATCAAGTTTGTAACGCTTAATTTCAGCAATGACCTGCGCCACCCTACCTTGCTCATACATTGTTCGCACATTCCAAAAGCCAATCAGTGTAGTTGTTTTTGCGCTAACGGCTCCCGTTGTCATGACAGCGGCTTCCTTTCGGCTTTGGCCACTGTCAGTCATTCGAATCCTATTACCTGCAGAGTTTCTGGTGTTTTCACTCTCGGCATTCACTATTGCCCATGGCATGGATTCCGGAGGCTCTTTCTGCACAGATGATTCTTGTAAGTTACACGTTGCTGTTTCCGTAACAAAAGCTTTTTACATGATAGGGTTGTTAGCCCTATGCAAAACCCCCAAACCTGGAGGGCCGGTAGATTGCTCTTTGTCTGGCCCCTAACCTTTGACCTGTCTGGCATGGGTGTCCCTACCAGGACCTCGAGAGGTCCAGCCAGCATAGCTCTCGGGCTCATTGGAGCGCGCAAGCACCCCCACCACGTCAAGGTGGCAATCTTCGGGCGGGGATGATTACTCTTGTGCGGTTTATCGAAAACGTTTTACATTTTCACTTCAGACTTAAGATCCAAACGCGGCATTTTGTAGTGCTGCTCGGGCTTGCGCTTGCTTTACGAAAGTTTGTCAAACGTGCATTTCATCGGTCTCAATACTCGTAAAAATGGCGTCCAAAACGAAATAAAATAGAAAATAAATAGAAAAAGTGTACGGACGGCTTGCGTCTGCGGAAAAAGTTGAATGTGGTTCAACTCTTAGTTTCCGCAGACGCCAGCCATCACACACGAAAAGCCAGTTAAATTCACGCTGTGAATGACTTGCGTAAAATTACGCGACAGTGGAAATCCACTTTTAATTTCTCATGATTTCTGTTATTTTTACTTTGGTCAAAGAACACGACGATCTCAGTTAAGTTTTGTGATCGAAGCCAATCTATTTCGTAATCTTTTCAAAGCATTTCTTTCACTCTTCATACCGACAGCGTATCATCTAAAATTAATTTTCAGTTTTCAACAAAGCTTTAGCCCCATAATTTGACAATTTTGATTTTTCTCATCATAGCGTCACCAGATGAGCTTCTATGTGTCGTATTCAAGTATTTCAGTCCTAAAGAGATAATAAACAAGCTAAGGCTCGTATGCAGAAGATGGAGACGTATCTCTGAAAGTGACATGTTGTGGACCAATGTTTGCCTTGATGAATGGGGCATCACTCATTTAAGCGAGGATCATAAAGCACGCACGGGGTTTCAGAAATTTCTCAGTAGCCTATATTGTTGTCAACAAACATCGATTCAAGGAGACACAATCTACAGCTATCAAAAGTCTATGTTTGTCTCATGGACTTAATTATTTAAATTTGAGTGGCCAGTTGGTATCTAATCTGACCTTCTTGCAAGGCACGCGCCAGTTGGAGTATTTGACCCTAAATGATTGCACTGTATTGAAGGGCATATCCCCGATTTCTTTTTGTAAAAATTTAACTTTCCTTTCGCTTAAAAGGGCAGTTAATCACGAGGGTGAGCTCTTGCAGTCTGTACTGCCGCTGTCAAATCTGTTTTTCCTAGGTGTAAAGGGAAACGAGCTATCTTTAGAGTCACTTAAAGAAATGTGCAAAACACTTTGCAAGCTTTCCGTTCTCAACTTAGACCTTAATATAGTAAATCAATCAGAATTTTTTATCCTTAGCAAGCGAATTTGATATCACTGTCAACAATGCTTGATTAAAGGGTGCAGTACGTTGACTCAGTTAAGAAACATTTATCAGATGAAGTAAACATTTAGCTTGTCAGTGTTCAGTTTTCATATTACAGTCTATTAAAAATGACGAATTTGACGATTTATCAATATACGACTTCCTTGGTTTATAGGTGTTTCCCAGTTTTCTTCCACTGATCAGCATGTTGTATTCTACTTTGATGTCGGGGACATCGTAAGTGGCAAAGTTGATCCAAGAACTCCTCAGTCTCACGAAAAAATTAAATACCTTAAGAACAATTTCACTCCGCCTCCTTCATATACAGGCTTTTTCTCCAAGACTGTAGTTAAGGGAAAAGACAAACGTACCACGAAGCTTGTGTTTCAGCCCTCATGGTTGGAAAAGTATACGTGGCTTGTATATAGTCCTTCACAAGTGGGAGGTTTTCGCAAATATTGTGTGATGCATAATAATCCATCAGATCCTCGAGCACAGAAAAGGCCTCTAGTAACTACTCCATTCCAAAAGCTAAAAACAGCCACTGGAAAAAAAGGGGCACTTGAGCGTCATCAGAAAATGCAATGTCACCAGTTGGCACTTGAAGCCGGCATTACCATAATCCGAAGTTTTCAAAAACCAAAGGAAACCTTGCCATACAGGATTTCCACGCAAAACCAAGAGATGTTTGAAAAAGACATGAACGCACTTAGAGCAATCATAACTACCATAATATTGTGTGGCAAACAGAACATCCCTCTTAGAGGCCATCGAAATGACAGCACAAGCACGGCATCCAACAAAGGCAACTTTCATGCCATTCTTATGCTATTGGGAAACTCGATAAAAATCTTCAAGAACACTTACTTACTGGTAGGAGAAATGTTACAAGCATCTCAAAAACTGTACAAGAGGAAGTCATTCGCATCACTGGAGATTATATTCGGGCGAAAGTTACACAGCCGATTCAGAAGGAAGACGCTTTTTTCTCAATCATTGGCTATGAGGTAACAGATAAATACGCAAACCAAGAAATATTAAATGTTTGCCTTAAGTTTTTAAATCTAAACAAAGGACGTTTCACCTAAAATCAGAGAAGTATTTTTTGACCGTGTCAACCTTGAGAAAAAACTGGTGAGAGCATAGCAAACGCTATTTTGTCAAGTTTGGCCAAGAACAACATCGATGTGGCGTTTGCAAGAGGACAGGCCTATGATGGCGCTAGTGCCATGTCCTCAGAAGCATGTGGTGTGCAAGGAAGAATAAGGAGAATAGCACCGATGGCACTGTACACTCATTGCAACAGTCACGTTTTGAATCTCAGTGTTGCAGCCGCATGCAGGTTAACTTCAGTCAGAAACATGATTGGAACCTTAAATGAAACTTTCCTTTTCTTTCATTTTTCACCTAAAAGACAGCGATTTCTAGAACAAGTTTTGGAGAAGTGTGGTTTTACTTCCAGAAAGGAGAAGTTAAAAGGCTTATGCAAAACCCTATGGGTGGAAAAGCATGAATGTTACGAGACTTTCTACGAACTTTACGAGTACGTTTGCATAAGCTTGGATGCGATAGCTGATCATGAGTCGCATCCTCATGTTTATTCCTCGTTATTGTTCACGTGGGACAGGGAGACTAAAACCAAGGCACAAGGTCTTCTGGCAAATCAAAGACATTCGGATTCATTTTCACCTTTTTTGTCACAAAGAATAGCCTTGGAACACTCAAACCTATTGCAGCTAAGCTTCAGAAGAAAGAACAAGATGTCTTCCAAGCGTATTCTATGATTGACGACATTATTAAAGCAGTTGCCAGGGTGAGGTCAAACATAGAAGAGGAATGTCATGAATGGTTTGAAGACGCATCTAGACTGGCTGACAAGATTGGGGCTACAGTCTCAGTGCCAAGAATCACTGGGAGGAAGGAACATAGGAACAATGCACCTAAACCCGGAATCGCATTATCGCGTTAACGTTGCCATACCTTTTATGGATCATTTATTGGAAGAAATAAGTTCAACTTTCAGCGAAGACAACAGGGCTGGGGCCGAAATTTTTTCCTTGGTTCCATCTGCCGTGGTGAAGTATGACAGTCTTCGTAATTTAGCAGAAAAGCTGCAATTTTGGTAACAGGACTTACCTACACCGTCCTCTCTTCTTTCTGAGTTAAAGGAATGGCAATTCTATTGGAAACAATACACACCCCCTTTACAGCTACCGGGAAATCTTATCGAGTGTGTAAAATATGCTGATGAGGATATGTACCCCGACATACGAGTTTTGCCTATTATTGGTTGTACCCTTCCTGTAAGTTCTGCCGAAGCTGAGCGTTCATTCTCTGGCTTGCGACGAATCAAGTCATATCTCAGAAACAGGATTTCTGATAAGCGGTTGTCAGGACTTGCACTCATACACTTACATCATGACCTTGACATTGATGTTGACGAAATCTGTACAGTCTTTGTAACCAAACACAAGAGGAGGATGTTCCAAGGGTGCATCCTTTACAAGTAGAATCCAAGTAAACGGTAAGCCGGCAAGGAATTATAACGTGCAACCGCGGCTGGTGGGAGGGGCTGTGGGGGTATGGGGTGTGTGGGGGAGAAGTGATTTGCCTCAAAAGAGTCCAACAGTCCTTTCTGAACCAAAGTTTGCCCCCCCCCAATCAAAAATTCCTGGATCCGCCCCTGACATAACGTCTGAGTCAGATCGCCACCAGCAGCGACTTGACTTTCAGAGGTGGCGAGTTTGTTGAGGTGTTGACCGGATACTGCTTAACAGAACATCTAGAGCCATACGCGCGAGTTAGTGCAAAAACATACAAACAGTAACGCGTTGAAGCCGAGAAAGGACATTCTTGGTTCGTTACTGTTTTCATTCTAAGAGATGGAGGGCGGTTAATTTGTGATCAGTTTCAGTGAAGATTGCGTGTCTCGAGACATTTTATGTGCGTTACACGACACATATTCTACAATAGTACGCCTGTGATACACTTCTTGGATAAATAAATCTCGAATCCAGGGTCATTTTGACTCCATGTCAGCGGTATGGTCGCCATGGGTAAGTACGTCATGTGTAGGTCAAATAAGTCATTATTTGGCAACTATACCGCTGACAAGGAACCAAAATAACACTGGGCTCGAGAACGGGGTAATCTGCATTAAGGGCGCGTGAAATCGACATCCATAAGAATTTGGAACCATTTTTGGGGCTGTCCTGGTGTACCGATACACGGGGGAATTCCTATTGTTTTCATATCCATACATGGAGTTGTGACGCATTCGTTAATGTTTAGTTCCTTTGTGTACCGGTACACGAGGACACAACCGAATTCTTTTGGGTAACATTACCACTACTAGTCACAAGTAAGACACAAGACTGTTAAATTTAATTATGTTATTGGCTATACCGTAAGACAGTCGCAAATTGCGACAAACAGACAAATTTCAGACGTAAAAGCGAAATGTTTAGTTGCGAATGAGCTCGATACGGGCGCAATTTCGAGCCCAGTTTGAAACTCACCGGGCTTACTCTCAGTTCTAACTACATCCCAAATGAAGTGAAATTCTTGGAATGGTTTTGATTTTTTCAAAGGAAACCTAGGAGATAGCTAAGATACAGTTATCAATGGCTATGATATAGCTTTCAAAGGGCGAAAACTGACCATCTGATTGTATGTTTAATTTGACCCAACAGATTGGCTAATGTTGTCCCAAACTTCACAAGTGTAGAGACTTGAGAACTTGCCGTTATCAGAATTTAATGCTTCAGGCGGAAGGTGGTCCTTAGTACTAGTGATGTCCTCTTTGATCAATGTTGTATGTGATTCCTTCAGCTTACCCTTCACAGCTTTGTGAAACCGAAACCCGTCAAGCATTCATTCAAGTCCATATGGATGACAACGCCAGGGATATGTTAGTTTGAGGTAATTCCTCATTCTTTGTAATAATATTTTGGTCTAGTTCTTTTTTATAGAAACACTATCTTTCCAAAGATAAAATGACTGCTTCTAGTTGGGAGAACAGTGCTTTCAATAACGTTTGAAGTAGTTGGCTACCTTGGTAAAGCACCCGCCGGAGAATTGTATGGAAAACAATTTCGCCCTCGTTGGTCCATTATTTCCATCATAATAAAATGGCTTCAAACAGAGTTTTGTGTGTTGAATTTTGGTAAACGATCTTAAATATTAGTCTCCTCTTCCGTTTGCTGACTTGCAAGCCTGCTACCTGAGTTTCACACAAAAAGTCCTCTGAAAGGATATGTGGTTACTAATTACTAACATTTGAGGCAGTACGTTCTTGTAAACTCAAAATCGTGAAAAAAGATCGGGTGTCAGGTACAATTCCTTTCAATAATTTTCAAGTTGAATAAAGACAGAAATTTATACGGCGGAATTGAAGGTGGGGCGGAAAAAATTTCACTAAGGTGAGTGCTTGTTTTAGATTTAAAGATATGAATAATATTCAAACCCCTCTTACTGATTTTGTAGTCTTGGCCTGATTGCTTGTAGGGGGAGGTATCAAGCCTTTCAACTTTTGCTTTGCTTTGACAGTAGAAGTGATAACAAGGGAGTCTGTTTTTTATAGAGTTCCAGCGATGTAAAAAAATTATTTTCCTTTTGGATGTGTTTATTAACCTGTGGGGATTGGAGGGGAGAAATCCAGAAATGCAAATAAAACAGTTCAAAACTTTTTGAGTTGTGGATGATAACAATTCTTTAGGAACATAGATTTTTTTATAATATCAAGTGCTATATCTGTAAAGGCATGTCTAAAGCTCCCAACAGTAACAAATTATGCAAATCTTTTGAGTAGAAGTGGATAGTAAACTTAAATTTCATAAAAAGTTTAAACACAAGTTCATGGTTTGTAAAGTTGTTCAGATGTAGAACAAGAAGGCAGAAACAGTTTACAATTGTGTTGTTTATTCAATGCACACACACACACAGGTTGAAAAACGTAAAAACAGAAAGCATGGTCTCCGTGACATAACATAGATCGGAAATGAATTAATGATTACATCCATATTGTTACATCTCCCCTTCTTACAAAAAAAAAAATATCTCAATGTCACAGTCTTATGCAAAATAAAGATAAAATAAATAAAATAAACTAAAGAAGCAACTAGTCCTGTTCATTTACTCTTGACCATACACTGTTTGTGACTGGTTCTGTCCATTGACTTTCAACAGTACACTGTTTATGACTAGCAGTCTGCAAAACACAGTGGGGGTTGGACTACTAGTCTGTTTCTTGTGTACACTCATCCATCCTCTGGTCGGACCTGGTAAAATCAGATGTCAACTTTTCCTTCAACTTTTGCAGGAGTCTACTCCTTCTTTCCTAGCTAAGAGTGTTGCAGCTGGATACAGACTCTGTCTCCTGGGTGCAACTCATCCAGTTCCTCCTCAACATTTTTCTGAAGTTTTGGCTTCGGTAGTTGGTTAGAGGTGGGTAGGAGAGTCTTGGTTCTTCTCCCAAACAGACGCTGTGCTGGTGAAGAGTTGAGGGTTTCTGTTGGAGGGTTTCTCCAATCTAGCAGGGCTAGATATGGGTCTCGTCTAGACTTGGCTAGAAGAAAGGGTTAAGCCCTATAGGGCCTTCTTGAGGAGAGACTTAGCAGTCATGACGGCGTTTTCCACTTTCCTGTTTGACTGGGCACATGTAGGGGAGCTTGTCATGTGTTCAAAGCTGTAAGTGCTAGCAAACTCACCGAACTTGTCTGGCACAAATGGCTGTCTGTTGTCAGATACAAGTTGGTCTGGTATGCCATGTCTGACTAGGTGAGCTTTGAGTTTCCTGATGACTTCATCAGCTGTCTTGGTAGTTAGACTATCAACTTCAAAGAAGCTAGAGAAGTAATCAGCAGTGATCATGTAGTCTCTTCCATTCAGCTCAAACAGGTGTACTGCAATCTTCTCCCATGGTCTGGTTGGTATCTCATGACAGATCATTGGCTCTTTAGTTTGTTTCACTGGCTGGCTGTTACAGACAACACATTTGGTGATGCAGTTCTTGGTGTCTTTGTTCATACCTGGCCATAACCACGAGGTTCATGGTTATGGCAAAAGACAACTCAAGATGATTTCTTGGGAAGAAACACTAGTAGAGTTGAGGATTTCGCCAGTCCTGACATCATGTAAAGTTGTTTGGATGTAGAACAAGAAAGCAGAAGCAGTTTATGACTGTGTTGCTTATTCAACACACACGCACACAGGTTGAAAAGCATAAAAACAGAAAGCATGGTCTCCCAGTTACCATGGCATTCATGACGTAACATAGACCAGAAATTAATTAACGATTACATTTTCATTACAAGGTTCAGTTAAATCCTCTATTATTATAACATAAGAAACATGGCTTTACTGTGCATGCAAGGAGCCATAAATATTCATTTTGATCACCTCTGTGGAGGTCTGCCTGGTCCAGCCCTTGGTCTCCCTGCCACCCCTTTGAGTCTCCTAGCAGAATAATTGCTGTCACGATCATCAAAGAGATATTGTTACAATGTGTGGTATGGCAAGAGGAAGGTGCCAGACACATTCACGCTTGGCAAATTGCACACTCATAGATTGTTTCCACTTGTTGTATGTGTACCTTACATCTTCTGTGAGAGTCAGTTTTTACCAGATGGTTAGCTGTACACAATTGAAGTGGATATCTGGTAGCTGAGTAGCATGTACTGACAAGTTACTGGTATCTCTTCCCAAACAATTTCCTGCTATAAGCTGATCCACTAGTTTCTCTTTGAAAGAAGCAAGGCTTATGCCTTCTTTACTAACTCCCTTGTACCTCATGTATGTATTTAGAGTTGTTACTTCAAGTATATGTTGTATGCATGTGTACCTTACATCTTCTGTGAGAGTCAGTTTTTACCAGATGGTTAGCTGTGCACAATTGAAGTGGATATCTGGTGGCTGAGTAGCATGTACTGACAAGTTACTGGTATCTCTTCCCAAACAATTTCCTGCTATAAGCTGATCCACTAGTTTCTCTTTGAAAGAAGCAAGGCTTATGCCTTCTTTACCAACTCCCTTGTACCTCATGTATGTATTTAGAGTTGTTACTTCAAGTATATGATTAAGAAAAAAAAAATTGTAGTACCAAATATTTTCTTTTGTAAGCTGTAAGTAGGTTGCTACCTCCCACATAAGAATTGTACATTTTAGTTACTTTTTGGCTTTGCAAAGGTCTTTGGTTGCCACCAGCCTGCAGATCTGACTTTCCTTTCCACCTTGCCAATTTACAAGCACTCAGGAATGGTTGATGGCTGGTGGACAAACTTCTTGTCTTTCCGCGTGACTTAAACTAACTTGTGCCTTTGATGAAAGAGAGATTCTCCTCTCTGAGGTCTGATTGTTGATTTTGTTGCTGGGATCACCAATGTCTTTTGGAAGGAATTTCCTGGTTCTCCACATAGTACCCCAAGCTAGTATTCCTTTTCTTTCCAACTTCTTACTCTGGTATACCAGTTGTCAACAAACAATCTGTCTCTCTTATGAAAATGGGGTTACATCAGCTAGAGAACAACAGGCATGACCAAGTCTCTGCCGCTCACAGAACCCTCCTTGCCAGTGCAAATCATAGTGTAGAGGACATAACCAGTTGCAGAATTTGCCATGACAAAACCTTTCAGCCCAAATCAACTTCTTTTCAAAAGCAAAAACTGCCAAAATTGTAATCATCCCTTGTATACGATCAGAGTCTTATCAAGAGACAATTATTGCAATGGTGCATAAATTATTGCAAACCTGGGCGGCAAGGCATTCAAAAATGGCCTGGTTTTCCTAAGTTTATCTCCATTAAAATCAGCAGGCCTGGAGCATTGTGTCAACAAAGTGCAGAATTTGGAGGTAGCAATCTCAACTCTGTGTGGGGAAACAATGTAATTTTGATTCCTGAATTACTAGACCAGTAAAACTTGTAGTTGGGTTTTTTCACTAAGCCCTCTGCTAAGGTGAGATGAAGCCATGCCTTCAGCTCTGGAACAGTCAAATTGTGGAGATGACCTCACAAATTATTATCAAGTTGGGATTTTTGGTGTTTGAACCAGATGGTCTCATTCACAATACATACATACATACTTTATTGCATAGCTCCCCCTTGGAGGCCATTCTGCCGTACATGAATATTAAAATATCAAGTTACAAAGCAAAAAAAAAAAAAATTTACAGATAAAAATATAGCCTATAAAAACAGGTTACATTTCAATAATAAAGTAGAATCTTATGATCTAGGAATTAATTCCCCTGCAATATCATCTCAAAGAAATGCAGTATTATACAGAAATCGTAGCTGCCTCCAAAAGGTGAAAACAAGCACTCAAAACCTTGACACAAAGACTCAATAGTTGACAGCATCGAATATGAGAACCATGAGCAATTTGAAAATAATGCTGTTGATGTAAACACTGATAATACAATTTAGAAAGACCAAGCTTCCTAAACTGAAGTTTGTTCTGAAGACCAAGCTTGTCAAGTAGGTCTCTATGAATCAAGATCTGAAAGATGAAATTGCTTCTTTAAAACAAGAGATTGGATCACTAAGGAAGGCCATCAATAAAAAAAGCACAAAACCAAATTTGACATTGATGATTTTAAACACAGCAATAAGGATATTTTGTTTTCACTGGCTTTCCCAAACATGATACTTTGCTATTATGTTTTGATTTGTTGAAAGTAAAGGCTGCAAATCTATGTTACAGTGACAATGGGAAGACACACTTTGCTTCTCAATATAAGAAGCCAGGAAGCAAGCAGAAGCTGACTGTCTGGTAAGAATTTACAATGGTATTATTGAGGTTAAGACTTGAGCTATTTGAAAAGGATTTAGCTGAAAGGTTTTGAGTATCAGTGTTCACTGTTTCAACTGTTTGAAGGACCTGGATTAAGTTCATAAGAAATGAACTTCAGCCCATATGCGTTCAATGGCCATCAAGGAACAAGTTTTGTATTACATGCCTCCTGTTTTCAAATCATTCTATTCCATAATTGACTGCACTGAACTGCAGATGGAATCACCTTCCAGTCTGAATAAAAAATCATTATGCTACTCAAGCTATGAGTGTCGAACAACAATGAAATCTTATATTACCCCTAATTGTGTTGAGTTGTGTCATTTTGTGGTGATCTGTATTGTGGATCTATTAGTGACCCTGACATTGTAAAGAAGTGGGGGTACTTGACACATTTAGACAAAGGAGACCTTATTATGGCTGACACAGGGTTTGTAATACAAGATGAACTCGCCTCTGTAGAGGCCAAGCTTACCTTACCTTATTTCATGAATGGAAAGAAACAGCTTACAAAAGAAGAATCTGATAAAAACAAAAAGAGAACATGTGGAAAGGTATATGGAGAGACTGAAAAACTGGCATTTCTTTGACAGACCACTCCCAATAACTATGTCTGATATAGCTTCGGATGCTTGGATTGTGGTTGCATGTTTCTCAAATTTTCTTTCACTGATTGTTGGCTAATTTCCTACATGTGAGGAAAAGAATATTTTTTTATGTCAGGTCAGAGTACAAATGAACAATGCGAGATATTCATGAGTACTTTTTTGGTTAGTGCATTGTGCTACCCTTGATTGTAATCATTATATATTCAGTTCTTTTGAAAGTGAGTTTGTTTGATATGGGTCTTGCTGTAATAAATATCCCCACAGAAGAAACCACTACTGCAATACATGCAGGTTTATCTATTATTTTAAGAGGGGTAATGAAATGGCCAGTAAAGTAAAGCTCCATCGTTCCAGGCAATACTACTGTATTAACATTAACAATTCAAAAAGGAATTTTAAGACTTCTGAAATAGCTTTAGTTGGGCCTGTTTATTTTCTTTCTCTTGCTTTTTAACTTTCTATGTTACCCTTGGAAACTGTAGGTCTTTGTTCCATCTTGATTCTCTATGTAGAATATGTGGATAAACAAGTTCAGGGAATATGTTATCAAAATAGAATTTGTTAAGTTTTGGTAGCACATTCTCCCAAAATACAGTGTCAAAAGGAATTTTTTTGTGTGACTTCCTTTTTCACATTAAGCAATAAAATAGCAAGTGCTTCTATTGGAACAATAAAGCTGTTGTTGGGAAATTCCACGCAAGTGGTGTCAGAATCCAGTTGTGGAACTTGAAATTATACTCTGTGCTACAATGCTAACAAGTTACACCACACGGAAAAAATAAATTCCAGCTCCCTTGTGACAACTGTGTATTCAGGGGGGGTCTCCAAAGTAAGTGTCTATTTTTTTTATGACATACAATGGGCAAGAGGGCACATTTTAACCTGCTACATCAAACCTCGAAAATATGAAGGGCTGCAAACACTTGTATCAGGAAAAATCCTTTAATGAAGTAAATGCATATGGGATATAAATTTCACCGGAACTTTTTTTTAAAAGTAGATATAACAAAGGCAAGTCCCATCACGGACGTTACGCAATGTCCACAGTATTTAAACGATCCTTTTTCTTTCCTAAGATAACTATGTGAAAGATTTTAAAGACATTCTTGTCACACAGCTAGATATCCAATAGAAACACTTTAGTAAATAGGAATTTCTAGTAAACTGCAACATTTTCAAAATAATGACAGCAAAACTTCGTTCCGGACGTTACATTGTGGACATTACACTTCTTGAACATAAGTTAAAACACTTGAAATGGTTTTAAAAAGTCAAAATATTACACCACAAGTTCATAGGTTCTTCTAGATATGCTTTAGTTTCACCTGACAAACATTTTGAAACAAACAACAGCTTTCAAGGTTACTATTTTGACATTTCAAGAATAGAAGAGGTTCTACCAAACTCTGATGAACATAGTCATTTCTCATAGCTCTGAAACCCTTGTATGTTTCCTAATTACTCTGAAGAGTTTTTCCACAGCTGGTTGCTCTGGAATTTGAATGGTCTGCTAATAAAGTGAGGAACAGTAATAGGACCAGCAAAAATATTTGAAAGGTGGAATCTGTCCATATCGTCTCGTTTAGGCCAATGATAAGTAGTTGCGCTGACTCTGTGCAGGAACTTGAATTGGACAAAACTGTCATTTTTGTCTATTACTCAGCCAAAATAATAGTTTTTGATGTAATCAACTGCATATTATTCCCCTGGTTGAATAGTTGGTTGTGGGATTGGGCATAGCCCTTTCTGGTGCAATTCTTGGATCAGTAGTTGCCTGTATGTTGGAACTTCAGTTTTAGGGATCATTTGGCATATGGTGGCCAAACATCTTGCATACAGACAAGTGAAAATACCACAGTCGTATTATTGTCCTGTTGTGGAATCTCACCAGGCCTGTTTGAAAAGAAAGACCACTGGTTGATGTCAATCGACTGGTCAACTTTCACAAGAAGTGACACCATCTTTTCCACTCGTTTAACACAGTTGGCTTTATGAATTTCCCTGGCAGGCTGTCAAGCACCACAATGCACATTTCCTGGGGAAACATCACTCCAACGAACCAGTGTTCGCTCTGAATATCATTGCAGGGAAAGAAAACTGCATCTTGTCATCTTTGCCTTTCAGAAGATCTTTCAGGTGCTTCTTTTCCACTGCTTTTTCAAATTTTTCCCACCCAAAAACTTCAATGCAAAGGCCCTTTCAGCACTTGTTGTCTTAACCAGCTGTAAATATGAGTCAACAATAAAGTTTGTAATCCACTTTGCTTCATCATTTGTGGCTTTTCCTTCCAACTCTTGTAAGTCACGAGCATTAATTAAAGGATCACCCTCAAAATCAATGCTTTTGCTAACAATCAGCTCAGCTAGTTGACCGCTGTAGGGAGGAACTTGGAATTCAGTGCACTGGTTATTAACAAGTGCTCTGATGTTGTGAGGCAAGCCTAACTGAATCTGGATATTGCTCTCCTCTTTATGTCATAGTTGTCTCAGCTGGTGATGGAGCATGTGTACATAAAGGAGTGTCATTCCCATCATCATTGACAAAATCAGTATCATTGCTGCAACATATATCATCACGACTCTCTTCATCTACACTGCTGTTACTGGAACTGATGGTTGTTTCAATGACTGAGGTAACACCATAGGTTTCTTCACCATCACTTGATTGTTCAGTCTAATGAATGGTAGATGGCTGACTTGAGTAAAGGTGGTGACGTAGTTGACCCTTCATTGCTGGCTCTATGCAGTGGATCTTGCTAATTTCCGGGATAGGTGTGGCTTGTTCAAAGCACTTGTCCAGTTCTCAGTGGTTGCTGTAATCATCAATGTCTTTCTTAAGACATAGTTGCATGTTGACTGACTTACAAAATTGTGCTGTGATCTTCGCAAAGGTCACTGCATCTTGCGCATTTGACACTTTCCTGGTGGACATTGCACCCCACACCATCCTTTTCACAGTTCCTCCCAAGCCATCAATCACTCCTTTACCATGGGAAGTGGCAAAAAAGGGCCACTTAATTCTTAACCCCTTCCTCTGAAGAGTGTGGTAGAAGCCAGCCATGAACTTGTTTTTAAATTGGGAGCTGGGCCCATCAGAAAAGATGTTGACAACTCGGACCTGTGGAAAACTTTTCCTGATAAAATTGTTAACCACAGTATCCATAAAAACAGCCACTGATTTCTTGTCATGGCTGAGGTCATCACTCGCTAAAACATGCAAATTGCACGTTGTATTGTTGGCAGAACCTTTGGCCCAAATTGCAACAGTAAAGAGTGTAACTTTTTGTTGACTCCAATGGACTGCTTGAATTTAATCTTGGTGCTGACAGGTGTAATTTTCAGCAAAGTCAACCCGGACAACTGCTTCATCTGGTTGCAGCTGTGCTTTGCACTCTTCAAAAAATGCGGCTTGTTTTCTCTTTACAAATTCATGCTCCAAGAAAGAAGGTATTTTATGTTGAAGACAATGTAAGGCTTCTTCAACTGTTCCCTCTTTGATCACTTTCTCCATCTTCTTTACCACTTTCGACTTGCCTTGTTTTTACTGAACTGGATGAGACACTCTTTCCCACTGTTGCCACTGCACAACTTCATCAAAAAGAGCATCTTTCATGACAATGTCAAGCCAGGCAGGGCATTTATCACATTTGTTCATCGTGCATTTTTCTTTAGTGCTGTCACAGACAAAGTGATCAACAAATGACCCAGAATACCAAAGAAAACTTGGTACTTCTTTGCTAAGACATTCACAGAGCATCTTCACATTGTCATGGTACTGGCAGAGGCAAACTTGTTGTGGCATGGCTGCTTGCAGCAAAACATTTTTTGGCCTCAAAGAGTAGAATTTACTGAACCCCATTTTGACATGGGGTTTTTCCTTTTGAAACATTCAAAATGTCTCTTTCAATGACCATATTAAGGGCCTCTTTTAGAGCTTAGACTTCTTTCCATTCTCTTTAACAATCACAAAGTCTCTGCGTCTTGGTCCTTGATGACAAATAGAATCATGGAAGTAGAATTCTTGAACAGAATCTACTGTGGACTTGGCAATGCATGTGTTACCATTTGACTTCTAGTGTTTACTTGATACAGAAAGTCCACTTGACTTTGCAATCTTTGTAATAACTGCTTTCTGTTTCCTTGGGCTGTTTGGAAGAAAGGGGGAATCTTGTGTACTGCTTTACCTGAAGCTTGGGGAGATTTGTATGCAAATTCTAGATCAGTGCCATTAGCATCTTGTGAGGTGGACAACTTTTTTCTTAGCTTGTGTAATCTCACTCTTTCCCTACATTTCCTTCTCTCTGCAACAGCTTTCCTTGGACTGGGAGCTTTCGTTCTACTTTCCCTTTTCCAAACTCTTTCTTCCTCTTTGTATGCTCCATACATCTCCACATTTGCCTCGAGTTTTCTGTTATTTTTGCTTCTTTCCACTCAGGTTAAAGGCATTTTTTAGATTTAAGATTTCAAAAAAGGCTCAGGTATACATGTATTTTCCAGGAAAGGACCTTATGGACCAGCAGATGGTTGCTGGCTCAGAATGCAAAGAGCATGCTCAAATGTAGCTGGTATTTCATGTAAAAACCCTGTTGTGACCAAGAACAATATAGAATAGCTGATTTATCTTCTATACTTAATAATAATTCACACAATGTAATGTCCACAACATTGGTTGTAACATCTATGATGCTGAAGTTCAAGTAGCCTGGTAAAACTGTGAATGTCAGTTTAAAGGAAATAAAGCTTTTTAGTTCACACAACCACTTAACTGCAGATATTTGGAACAATTCATATAAAAAACCCTGATGCTTCACAGGAATTTTGACTTAATGCTAATGCACTTAATAATATGTCAGTAGGCACAAACATGTTCATTAATGGAAAACTGGACAACTCCTTATTTATCCTTTGTCTGTGTCAAATTAAAGTTTCAAAACTGAGTCTGAATGTAACGTCCATGACAGTGGAATTGCCCTGTTGTATCTGGTAATAATATTTATGATTCTTGTTGATTCTCAATTTACTGCCATTTTTCTTGTAAATTCCAAACCTGCTCATTCCATCATTAAGAGACTCTCCCTCCAATACAATCTTCTTGACTTCAACAATCTGGCTTTCATTCATGACTCTCTCAGGAGACACACCTAATAGAAAAAAACCTGACTTGTGTACCTTCTGGACAGTCTCATTTTCAAATGTTTGGATGATACTTGATTCTGATTCAATACCATCTCTAATGGCTTTAGTTTGTACTTGCTTAGAATAAAAAAGCACCTCTGAAACAGCTTTAGTTGGGCTTGTTGTTGGCTTTAACAAACATCTGTTGCACTGTGAAGCAGTTCTGCATGGTTTTGGTACATCAAACCATGTTCTTGTTTCATGTTGACCTTTTGTTTCCTCAGCAGTTACATTTCTTTCCTTGACAGAGTTATATAACCTCCCTTTGGATCTGAGTGTCCTTTGCTTTATGTCTATCATTGAAAGTGGAGCACACTTAGTAGGAGATACTATATCCCACTTAGATGGCATCTCACTGTCAGTGCTTTCAACTTCATCCAGAGGTATAGCATTTTGAGGACGGGCATGTGGAATGATACAAGAGAGTCCAATTTTTATTCCTGTTTTTTCTTCTATGTTTTTAATCTTTTAAAAAATAAATTTGAAATCTGCACTGTGCTGTTGTTTGTGAGAAGCACCCAGTTCACTAGGAGTAATGTTAGTTGAAGCCTTGTCATCTTTCCTTCTTTTACCATAAACATGCTTTTCAAACTGAACTTCTTAGATAACTGTTGGTTCATGCTTTCTCTTACTTAAGACATTCCAAGTACATGGTTTTGATATGCAAGGAAGCTGGTCACTTAGAGTCTGTTTATTGTTGGCTGATTTTTTGAAGATGTCTTCCATACCAAATAAAGTTGCAGCTAGGTGGTTACAGCATCTATCATTCCCAGTTGGACAAGGGCAAAATACTCTCTGAATTTAAGAGTTGGAGCCTATCATGATTTTTACAGTATATGCTGGTCCAACCTTGGAATAATGTGAAGGTAATACTTGGCTTTTGATGAAGAACAGTCCATTCTCACATTACTGCACACAGTCCACACATTCACATTAACTGCACAATTTAATCAGTTGTTCAAAAACTACTCATTTACACAAAAAACATGAGCAACAAACCTTGTTCTCAAGATAACAAGTTTTTTTTGCTACAAAAATCACCTTTTTCTAGGTGTGCATTCTAGATATACTATAGTATATTTTAAAAGAAATCAAACCACTGAGCTTCTTTTGAAATTTTAAATTTCAGTTTGATGATTGCTTAATTTTATTGTAAAAGAATGTTTCTTAACTGTAGCATTTTTTTGAAACATCATATGAAACTATATTTATATTCTTGTTGTGAGGAAATGATGAAATGTTTCCTACCATCTTGAAAAAACATTTTAACTGCAACATTGTTACAAACAAAAGTGTTGTATACATCTGTTGTTGTGAAGTGAAAATGGCAACAAAATGATCAAGATATTTGTATTAGTAAAGTACTGGCAAATGTTACATTTTTGTGACTAAACTTTAGTTAAGTAGCTGGAAAAGGTGATATTTTATTGACTGAAACATTTTGAGTTGTACAATTTGGTACTTGAAACTCTTATGATATTCTTTGCTGTGAAACAATTTCCAACAATATGTAAAAACAGTGAACTGTAACATTCTTACTGACATTATTAATTGATCGTGCATAAGAATGTTATCCTAATTTTCTCTTGTTGCTATGTGAATGGCAACAGAGTCAAATATTTATTTTGATTCTGGGAAAGGAAACATTTTATGTCTGGTGTGTCAATCTTGGTAACTTCACATGCTTGTTTTGGAGAGAATCTGAGGTTGACTTTGTGGAATGGAATGTTTTCAATTGATGTGCGTTTGTTGAAGAATATTGCTCTGGAAGATGCTGACTGAAGGTTTGATAGCTTGACAGGTTGGTTATGCAACTTGTCAACAAATAGCTGACGTTTCGACCCTTCTCCTCTTTGGTGCATTACTCAAACCACCTTGAAATTATCAATTGAAATTTGAACGGTTACATCAAAATAGAGGTTAGAACTTGCTTTGCTTTGTTGGTCTGTAGTGACATGTTGTATGTACAGTAGTCAATGAAGACTGTTGATATTAGAAGAGATGTTTGTAAGTGTCAAGGGGACGTGTATGAAATGGAGAACATAAAGACATGCTTATGCTGTAGAAAGCAGATTTTTTTTGCAGTTGATTAGAGATTTTCATCGTGAAGTGTTGTAAATTGTGTTGATTTGTCAGCAGTTGCTATAACAATCCATGATAGATGCCAAGAATTTTTCACCATCATTTGCATACAAAATTGTGTTGTTTCAGTTTTACTAACTTGTGCCACTCACCTGTTTTAGACAGTGATGCAGGGGACAATGGGGAGGAACACACTCCATATATCATTGCCTGAAAGATGCTACTGTGTTTTGCTCAAATTATTTAATCTTGTTTCCTCTAACACCTTGAATTTATAATTTTAAGGTTTTTTAAGGGATTTCAGTCCCTCAAAGGTCACAGGTTCTATAACAAGATTAAAAATTTCACAAAATCTGGTCAATGTGTATGTAAGTCTTGCTGCTCTTTCAGAAGGACCTAATTCTATCCATACATCATTTAGTGTAAGACCTTGTGCTTTATGAGGGTACTGCCGCCTTTCCAATTTTAGTCTGAGAGCATCAGAGCAATTTGTCACTGGATACAATGGAACACAGTTTAGAATGTCAGTACAAAAACTTGGTCTTGAATAATCCTTCTCATCAAACTGAATAATGATTACAACCGGCAAAGTTGGTGATTTAATTACATCAAGAACTGTTCTTACTTCACCATTACAAAGACCTACTTCAGTCCACAGATTGCATGTAGGCATAACTCCAGCATTTTTTGACAGGTAAACTCTAGGCTTTAAGCCTCCCATGTCTTCTGCACTTAAAATTTTTGCTTGGTTGTTGTTATGTTAAGCATCTATATGGATTATTGGCATATCTCTGGCAACTTTCTCATTTCCAAATGAAAGTTTTACAGTATAATTTTCAAAATTTTGCAAGTTTTCTACTTTAATAGGGTTTCTTGATAAAAGTAATTCCCAATCTTCTAAAGATGAGTGACCATCTCTTACTCACATCTGTAGTTGCCTAAATGAGTTTTTTTTACTGTCATTGCCCTCAGCTCTAACATTTTCATGCAACTTGACAACTGTTTGAAACTTGAGTAACTCTCAACAGCCATGTAATTTTTTGGCTTGTTTTGGTGAAGGACCTGGTCTGTTACTGAAGGAAGTTGAGCAACATCTCCAACCAATATTACTAATATCACTAATAATCCTCCAAAAGGGTGTGTATTTAGGCCATTTGCTTCTTTCCATCTTCTTTTTATCCAAAAGAACATTTTTTTGCCCAATTACTGAAAATTAATTATTAAATAGATATTGACCACCATTTAAGTTATTTTGCAATTTTAACAATGCTGAGGACTTTAATGGGCCATTTTTCTCTCTTTTTATAGGCAGTTATTAGATTGAATGCAACATTAAATGCCTCAATTCCAAAGAAGGTGGAGACTTTGAATGAATTCTTTAGCAAATCACTGATTGAATCTATTACATAGCTTTTTCCAGACCCAACTATTCCAGTGATAATCATTAGTATTTTTACTTCCTTATGAAAAAACACCTTTCTGATTACTTAAAAATAAAAAATCTCGTGTATTTTTGTCATTTAATAATACTTTAGACATAGCATTCCTTTATTTACTCATTTACAAACCATATTTACAAAAATACATTCTGTTAAAAAGACGAACTCAAATAAAAGCAACCATTTTACATCATTAAATGTGTGTTTCTTACTTTCTTACAGTTTAAGTAAAAGACTTCACGCTAATCCGCCAGGGTCTGACTTCTCTATCGATGTACAACATAAGGTAGAAGATTTAACTAGTGTTATCTAAACAGTTGGACTATTTTTCCTGCTAAAAAAAGACATGTTCCCGGCCTCTAAAATTCAAAAATTTCAGTTAAAAAAAAAACTATATAAATATATACATATAGACATATAGTCTAGGGAAGCCCTGCTTGACCCTTCTCTATTCCTAGATCTCTGTCCTTTACATCTAAGTTTCTCCTCCTCGGGGTTCTTGGTCCTTTCTGATTACTAATCCAATAAGGCATATCTCCAATCTTGTGATGTGTATTTTGCTCAACCCATTTTCCAGTATTCATCTGGAACAGTAGTAGTTTTGTCATTTTTTGAATCACAGTTTGATGTAAGGTCAGCAAGACACATCCATTTTTCTCTCTCACCAGTTTGTCTCTCATTTACATCATCTTCATTTAAAATAGTCTGTTTAATGTGTTGTGAAATGAAATCTAGCTGAATAGACCAGTTTGGAATGAGTATTTTTGCTTCAGTTTTCTTTAGAAAAGAATGCCACACCTGAATGTAAACAGAATCAGACCCATCTTGGTCTCCCCAAGAATTGTTCATGAAAGTATGCCAAGGTTTATACTTCAGTAACTGGTTTTTACAGAACAAATCCTATGAGGGTCTTTTTGGATTTGATGGAAAACTTGGGTATGTTTTAATTTCAATAGATAATTTTCTTGCGTTACCCCATGTTTACCCCATAAGTTAGATGCAAATTGTTCAAAATTCAATGCTGATATGCCAGGAGAATCACATTCATTCACCTTTCTACTTGCAAGCAAGTCAAGAAGGGATGGTTCTGTTTTAAGTGAATTGTTTCAACTGTAATTTTTCACGAACCAATCAGGGAAGGGTTAATTACCTGGAATGATGAACTCACAAATTTTATTGAAAGGAGTTGGTGCATAACTTCTTGAATACCCATATCTCTTTGTCCAACAGCTTTCATCACTAACTTTTGATAATTCCACTATTATCACTAACACATGAGGTTTCATTCAGCACTGAAGTAAAAACATCTCTGTCAACTGATAATATTTTCTCACCCTTAGAGGCATATTTGGCAATTTACTCTAAGCAAGAATGGTAGTCTATAATGACCTGTATGTTGCAGTTTGCTCTCCAACCTTGTAACTGAAAGCGCTGATGATTACTGAGATGAGTATCATTTCGTTTTGTGACTTCTTTTACCATGTGTTTCATTGTTTCATCTTTAGTGTGAATTTCTTTAAATTCTAAATGAGTTTTTTCACAGCAATCTTTTGGAAAGCCAAATCTACAAGAGTATGTGTCACTCTGTTGTCTCTTATGCATACAATAAGCAGTTGAACATTGTGTATGCCTTTGAATTAAATTTAGAAAGTTTTTATAATCTTCATCCAGTTCTTCCTGTTAGACATCTTCATGATGCTTTTTGCATAGAGGAAGTGTTGGCTTTATCCAATCAGTATGATCAGGATTATGAGGATGCTGGGTTGACATAAGGTAAACTGCAAAGTTACAAATAGCAGTTTGTGCTTTGTTGCCTTGTTCAATTAACCATTTCTTTTGCAATGGCTCCTCCTCTGAAAAGCTGTGTGGGCCACTAGTTTCCAATGATTTGCTTGTGAGGTAGCCCCTTGGTGCTTTTTGAGATTGGGCAAAAAGATCTGGATCACTTTTAAGTTTTTGTAACTCCATGACAATGGATTGTTTCTCTCTGAACAGCATATTCATACCTAAACTAGTGCCAAGTTGTACCAAGAGTTTTTTTTAGCCAGTATTTGACAAATGCTTCAGTATGCCCAGTGAATAACCAGTCAAGTAAATGATGGTTATTAATTAAATTTCCTCTTCTTTGTGTATCAGATAATTTTTTCACAGGATCAAAGAGTTCATGGAATTCTGGCCAATGAAAATCAGCACAAGACAAAGTCC